TCCTCCTTTGTTGATATTCCCTAGATATCTGGTGGACCACAAGCTGAGAGTCACTATAGATCTTTATTGACTCTGCCCCCATTTCTTTGGTGAGGCAAATCCCTATGAGCATTGCTGCATACTCTATCTTGTTGTTCAAGGTAGCAAAATCTTACTGTAGCTCGGATTGGGTTCCCTTCAAGACTTTCGAGCAAGAGCCCAACTCTTACCCCTTTTTCATTTGAAGACCCGTCTACATAGAAGGTCCACTACCATAATGTAGTGGACTACTTATAATGCAAAAACCTACATCCACTATTATGTTATAGAGTGCATAATATCAGCATTCTGATTTATAAAGAGTTATCCAATTGATTTTCTCTTTTTTGAGTTCTCTCTCTCGAATCCCCTCAAAACAAATTATAGTTGGTTTATATATTACCCATTACAAGGTTCAGTTGGAGATAAACTCAAATTCGCTTAATCGATAAGTTGCTCGATCATCAGTCTTGATTATGGGATCCATGCCAACTGGGGATATATCCACTCTGGATTTCCCGTACAACAATATTGAATCCCATTATTAATAAAATTGTCTAAAACCATGAGAATAAAAAATTATGATGGACAGAGAAAATATTGCAAAATCATAATTAATTAACTGAGGTAAAGAAATTGGTTGTTTATACCATGAGGTAAAAATAAAGATATGAGATTGAAGGCATAATTTGATTTTTTTTTTTTTTTTTTTTTCATATATAGATTCTAACAAACCAAAAACTCAAAAGATCAAAGGAATTTGCTTGGTTCGGGTAGGGTGCTTTTTTTAAATTATAACAAAATTTATTTGCATAGGATGTTATTTAGAATGATAGGTTTGAAAGTTAAGATAACTGAGGAAGAAGATAAGGTTAACATTGGAATAAAGTGTATATTAAATTTTATTTGACTAATTTAATTTAATATGGGGCTTAGAAAAAAGTTTTGATGGGAGATGGGACTCAAATAACAGATTACTTTTTAAAAAATTCTTAGAATTTTTATTTACTAAGGGGTGCTTGTCTTTCATCTTTGAACATAATTTATAACTTAATCATATTTTTAGTCTTGATTATTAAGGCTTGATTATAAGTGTTAAATTTTTTTTTTTTTTTGAAATAAAAATGAAAAATATTTAAAATCAACCCTTATATAGAGAGAGATGGCTTTCATTTTATAACTTTTGATTTACTCATTTGGTTTAATGTATGTAAACAAAAGTAAGTATAAAACTCAATTTCAAATTTTCTAGCTTTTTAGGAATGTAATTGATTCCGAAACTTAAGTTATAAAACCAAAGAATCAGTAAATGTCCGAATGTAAAATATTCATTTTATTATAAGTCTTCAAATGTGAAAATAAATAGATTTATTCAAGATCGTCCAGAATCAGAGCGTGACAGGTGTTTCTCATAGGAACCTAACTCATTAAATTGGCTTAGACTTCGCGGTAAATATAAATTGCACTATAGATCAAATTGCTCTAAAAAGATTTCCCATCATTTTCATAAACGTTAAACATGGAAAATTCGTATTCAGAATTAGAAAATAAAGTTTACTAACAAAATTTTTATGTGTGAATTCACGCCTCGATTATCATAAATAAGAATCTGATAGGATTTGAACAAATCATTTTTTCTTTCTCTTAACTTGATTAAGAAAAAAAAATTACAACTCTTTCCTTCAATAACTTAACCCATTACTCTTAAATTTGAGGTGTGAATTTAAAAAAAAATAATAATAATAAGAACATTGAAAAAAATAACTATGATATACACTACAAGAAATTTGATGTCTCCCAACATAAGAAATCCGTTAAGATACCATTGTGTCATGTCATTGTGCAGGGGACGTAGCCAAAGTGTACTCAATGGGATCACTTGACCCCACTGAAATTCTGAAATTATTAAAAATAGGTATATATTTTGCAACTAAAATTATATTGACCCGACAATACCTATATTTTATTGGTGCTACGGTGATATTTTCATTGTTTATTGATTCTGGGATTCAAAAATACCCATATTTTTTTTCACGTTTTCTCTCTTCCTCAATTCCTTTCCTCTTCTCTCCTACTTTCTTCTTCCTTTAAAAAATCATTGAAGATAATTATAGAATTGATAATATAACTTTTAAAATTAAATTTTCAGATTACTTTTTTTATATGCTTATTACTTAGCATATATTTTATTATAAATTTATCACCACACTGACTAAAAATTCATGGCTATGCCCCTGACTGTCCCTATGGTATAATGTAATATTCATTGATGCTAAATTGTCGTTTTACTTGCATCATGGAACTACTATTCCAATGCGACCAAAAATTGTAGATACATCCACATTAATCATTGTCAATTATGATGTCGTCTAATTTGACACGCCAAAATTTCACAAGAATATCTGCAATGTTTTAAAACTCGGCCTAACCCAACCACCAGACCCGAGGCCTTCACCAGGGCAGGTTAGCAATTTTACTATCCACAAAAACCCTAGAAATTGGGACGGTGGTCGGCGAATAATTGAAAGCTGATATGTTGAAGCTTTTGAAAAGGAAGGGTCAGTGAGTGCAATGGTGGCGACGGAGGTGATTTCTAGTGAGTGAATCGACTAGAAATCGAAAAAAACCTGCGGCGACAATAGCCTGCTTTTACTGACAATTGGCGAGGCGAACGAGGGTGGGGTGAGATGGGTTTTGGTCAAGAGGTTGAGGGTAGTATTTTTGTGGTGATGGGGAGGGTTGTCACGCCAGCATTGGTGAGATCTAGTCTAGGTTGTCGACGCTGGTGGTGGTGAGATCTGGTCGAAATAGAACCGATTTCGGCTAGATCTTGTGTAGATTTTCTAGGGAATGGCTCAAGGGATGATTAGGATTGCATTTGGTGTATTGCCATCACCAAACAGTCAACCGCCGATTTATATTTGAGGTGTGTTTGCTAAATTTCAAACCTGTAGGAACTTAACGAATTTTAAGGGATGTATTTACTAAATTTTAAACTTTTGGTCATCTAGTTTGACAGGCCGGTTAAACTGGTCAACCCGGGACCCAATAACTTTGTCGGGTTTCACCCCGAATTGGTTATTAAAACATTGTATATCTGAATTACTCTTACGCGTATCGTTGTCATTTAGCATTTTAAAATAGTCGGTACATACCTTTCACATTACTCCTAAATTTGAGGTATGAATTTTAGAAAAATAAGAACACGCCAAAGAATAACTGACATACAAATGTTGGAAGAAGATGCATAATGGAAGTTGCATCTCAATCTCCTATGTTATGTTGGATGCCACAATTTACTTGTTGCGTAATATCTTGGAATAACAATTTGATCCCCTTCTTTTATAGCTCTTTTTGCCATCTCAGCAAATTCTTTTACTCTTATTCTTCTCTCATCTCTTTCCTCTCCTTCATCCATTAGTATGCTTATAGCCTTTTTAATGTCTTCCTTCTTCACCAGCACCCCAATCTTTTCTTCCTGCCCCAAATTCGCTGGAATCTCCACCCCAATATTAACACCAAGTTGTAACACTTGGACAATTAACTTTTCGTCACAAAATTGGTCTCCGAAAAGTGGCCATGTAACCATTGGTACACCGGCAGATATTCCTTCTTGTATTGAATTCCAGCCACAATGTGTTAAGAATCCTCCAATTGCAGGGTGTGACAATATCAGTACTTGGGGAGCCCAACCCTTGATCAAAAGTCCTCTCCCTTTGATCCTTTGCTCATACTTTTCTAACCAATATCAAACTCTGCTGATTTATTTTTTCCATCCTTTATGACCCAAATGAATGGTTTAATTGATGCTTCTAAGCCTAAACCAAGTTCCATCAGTTGTGAAGATGCTAAATTACAAAGGCTGCCGAGACAAACATATAGTACAGAACTCGGTTGACAAATATCAAGCCACTTTAAGCATTGAAATTCATCAATTGAGGCCTTTTTACCTCTCTTACCTTATCTTTGTTGTCATTGCTGCATAATGAAACAGGGCCAATTCACCAGACTTTTCCTCTTTTGGCTTTCTTGAGTTCTTTGACATATGTTGACTCTATCTCTTCAAAGTTATTTATAATAACCCTTATGATGCCATTTCTGCAGCTATCATTTGATCACCAAAACCTCTATTTTCTGGAGGCATCGGTCCTGGTAGTTGAGCTTTTGTAATAGCAATTTTATCAGGCAAGTCAGGCACCAAAAATTATTCTGATTCTGAAGTGACATTCTCAAGAACCTTTTATGTACGCAAGTTGTGCATGCACAAGAGATAGAAGCAAGAAAATACAGGAAAAATAATCCTAGGAGGCAGTGTGGATAGTCCATGGAAAACAAATGTTGGAGATAATGCAACTTGCCCTAATTGTTAATTCTTCCAACAAATTTTCAACTGGGAATTGCAGCATGCTAATTGCATTGAAGAAGTTGTAGGCCAAGTCCATTGAAGGAAGCATGTCAAAATTCTCACAACCTTCTGCTAGTCCTGCTTCTTGACAAGGAAACTTGATCTCAGCTAACTGAATCTGCAGCCTGAATCGCGCAGCGTGAGCAAGAACTGTTTGCAACCGAGCTGCATTAAGCGGTGTGGTGACTATAGCGATGATAGCACCATTAAAGGAAACAAGATAAAGTGAAGATTTCTTACGTGGGAACTCATGGTTCAATTTGAGGAGACTCAACTATTGCCTATGGTGGAGAAATGAGAACATCTGAAATAGCACTTTTTATGTCCATTTATCAGTTTGCAGAACATTGGTTTATCCGTCTCCGTCCAATGATGTGGCTTTGTTATTAGATTTGTCTGTTTCTTCATAACTCGGTTTCTTAAATAAGGATTAGGCAAATAGGCATGCGGCAGACCCTTGTTTCTTTCGCAAGCAACATTTGCTAAAGTTCGAGATGCGGGAAATCATTAATCTACAACTCTTGGTAAATGCATTAACTATAACCAATAAAATAAATAAAACGAAAATGCTTGCCTTTACACATAGAATACTATAATTAATCCTCCTTCGCCGTTGTCATATTCTAGGTGGGTTTCTCTCATTCATTCCATATATAGTCCTCGGTTGGTGGTTGGAGATCACAGATTAATGACTGCCAGATGGCACAGCATATATATAGTTGTTGAAGATTTCTTTGAACAAACAATGAACATTTCGATAAAATGCTAAAAAAAAAATTATTAAGCAAAGTAAATCAATCAATCATTGGAATTACATCGATGGGCTGGGGTTAATTTGTTGTAACACAAATTGGATTAACATTTCCATGTTGAGGTAAGAAGATCCACCTTTTTCAATAGCATTTCTTGCCACCTCCCCAAGCTCTCTTGCTTTATTTCTTCTCTTTTCTCCTTCTTCACCTTTATCCATTACCCTTTCTATAGCTTCTTTTACTTTGTCCCTTTTCATCACTAACCCACTCTTGTCTTCAAGTCCCCATGTCACAGCAACCTCAACTCCCGCACACACCCCAATCCCCAGTACCTGCACAACCAACTTCTCATTATAAAACTGTTCGGCAAACAATGGGCAAGTCACTAATGGCACCCCCGCAGACACGCCTTCTAGTGTCGAATTCCAACCGCAGTGTGTTAAGAATCCTCCAATTGCTGGATGAGATAAGATCAATACTTGAGGGGCCCAACCTCGAACCAAAAGTCCTCTCTCTTTTGTCCTCTCTTCAAATCCTTCCTGTAGGATCCATCTTTCTAACTCTTCTGATTTTTCTCCCCCTCTTATCACCCAAATGAATCCATGATTTGATGCTTCTATGCCTAACCCAAGTTCAATAAGTTGCCAACCAGTGAGGCCACATATGCTGCCAAGGCATGCGTAAATAACTGAGCCACGTTCACACGAGTCAAGCCACTGCAAACATTTTTTCTCATTCATGGAGGCCTTTTCACCTCTCTCAGCCTGATCTAACTTCAACTTGTTGCAGGCTGAAACAGGGCCAATACACCAGACTTTATCACCTTTAACCTTTTTATATTCTTTGACATATTCCGTTTCCAGCTCTTCAAAAGTATTAATCACAATCCCGTCGGCCGTATTGTCAGCTGCTCGGAGTTTGTCACGAACTTCTGTCAAGTCCTCCGAACCCGGATTCAGATTTTCAGGTAACTGCGCTTTGGTTAATTCAATACGATGAGGCAACCCAGGTATCACAAAGGACTCACACTTGGAGACAGTTTCATGTACTTTAGAAACCTCCAATTTGTGTGTGCAGGAAAAAGAAAAGCAACCCATTCCATCGAAAAAAATCCTTGGAATCTTAAACTTGCAAGCAGTATTAACGGTCCATGGAAGATTCTTACCGGATATTATGCAGCTCGGACGGGGCTGTAATTTGTCAAACAACTCCTCAAAAGGTTTTTGCAACAAGTTAGCGGCGTGATAAAAGTTCTTGATCAAGTTACGTGAAGGAAGTTTGTCCATATTTTCACATCCAGGAGGCAAACCAGCCTCAAGTGATGGAAAATCAAGCTGCAGAAGGTGGATGGAGAGGCCAGATTCAACAGCACGTTGGATGATGGAGTTGAAACGAACGGTGTTCAAGGGAGTGCTGACAATTGTAACGATGATGCCATGTTGAGCCAGAAGTTTAGCCATGTCAATCACGGGAATAAGGTGGCCGGGAGACATTAGAGGTATGAGAATAAAATGAAGTTGATGATGGAATGATTGTGAAGCCATGTCAAATGGGTTGAAGTTGAAGGAGAAATTGTGATAAATTATAAGTTATTTGAGGTTTGGATAGTTGTAGTCAAGTTGCTGATCTTCCAAGGATTACCATTCAATTTGATTTTTTTATAAAAATAAAAATAGGGAATTTATGGGCTGGCGACTGCACGCTGGTTGTACCATGCATATACTTAAATTATTTTGCATAATAGTTTGTATGCAGAAAAGAGTTTGGTGCAACTGCCTACTGCTCTTCATTTATAATATTTACTAACTTTTTTAACCATATAATTTTCTTAAAAATTGCCCTTATGATAAACGGATTTTATTTCTGATTCTATAATTCAACAATATCTCTTTATATTAATACTTTTATGATTCAAAAATATATTTTATTTTTTAAAGAAAAATAACTTTTGAAATTGTATTTAAAATACTTCACGTAAGAGTAATTTAATAAATTTCTTGTTTGTCCACAAGAAACCAAGCCATGTGTTTTCACTTGGAAATATGCAAAGCAACAAATTCCCACTGTGCACATATTCTAAATTAACTTTTTTCAACCAATTAAGTGGGTGATGCCAATTTAATTATCATTAAACCAGCACCGCCCTTTTGAATATATATATATATATATATATATATAATAGATGTTTGGGATTATTTGGCATGTGATTGTGATGTGTTAAATAATTTAATAGATGTTTGGGATTATTTGGCATATGATTGTGATGTGTTAAATAATTTAACTCACCAATAGTTAAATAAAGAACATCAACAAGTAAGAGACAAACTCATATGGAAGGAGGGATGAATTCTTTTTATGCTGATGCTCTTTTCATGGTGATATCTTCTTTTCTTTATGTTTAGATTTTTATTTTTATTTTTCATTAATTATATTCTGCACTTGGATGGTCAACTCTAGAGGTGGAAAAAATGGGTGGGTTAGGCGGGTCAACCCTAACCCGGCCCGTAATGAAGAGGGTTCAGCTCAACCCGCTAATGGCGTCGGGTTGTGCCCAACCCGCCAGAACCCCGGGCGGGCCGAGTTGCAAAATGGCAACCCGCGGCCCGCGAGTTGCATTTTGTCCTCTCTGCAGGAGGACCGCAACCCGGTGCGTGGGTATGCCAACCGCCAGGTGGCCAAAAAAAAATTAAGAAAAAAATGCAAATTTTTAGTGTTTTAAATTATACTTTTACCCTTGAAATATAGCCGTTGGAGGGGTCTTTTTCGTCATTTTCTTTCCCCATTTTTTTCTATAAATTGGCCCTAAACTCTCATATTTTTTCACAACTCAAATTCTCTCATTCTATACTCTATCTCTATTCTCTCAATATTCATTTATTCTCTTAATCTTTTTGTTATCAATTTGCTCTATTTTAATTTTTATAGTTTTTGCAATTTTCAATTCATTTCAATTTTCCAAAACTAATTTCCATATTTCAATTCTCTTTCTTTAATTTTTATTTTCTACATCAATTTTTTTTTAAACTACAATGGATAGATATTTCTCTCCCTCAATTTCAATGATGAGAAAACTACTATCCTAGTTAGTCCCGCTGATTTACTATGAATGCAGGAGATTAAATAGTCCCGTTGTCCTAATCCCAGTCTCAGAATCCGATACACCTCCAATATGCCGTCGATTCCCACAGCTCCGGTGGTTCTAAAAGCGTCCTCGTATCGTCGTCCTCGTCCAACTTCATCTCAAGCTGAGGCGGGATCATCAACTGCCGTCGAAAGCGAAGACAGACACACATCAGACGTTTGGGGCATTTCGACAAGTTTTACGAGACAGAAAATGGCGTTCAAGTCAAGAAAGCAAGATGTAAATATTGTGCAAATGTTTAAAAGCTGATTCAGGTAATGGTACTAGTACTTAAAAAGGCATGCTAATAACACTATTAATCAACATGGAAATAGAGAAAGCAATCAAACTCAAATAACTAATATGAATAAACTTGGCGTTATAATTCTGATGTTATAAGGAACAGTTAGCTTTATATATTGCTGCAGTGATCAACCTATTAATATGGCTGAAGATAAATATTTTGAAAGATTTGTTCAAAATTCATTTTTTCCAGGATTTAAAGTTATTCTAAAACTACAACTAGAAATGATTTAATAAAATTGTTTAAAAAATGAAATTAGAATTAAAAAATAAATTTCATGCTTATCATATTAGTGTGGCTCTAACTGCCGATATTTGGAGTGGTAAAGAAACAAGATTTTTGTGTTACTAGTCATTATTTTGATAATGAATTTAAATTAAATAAATCTTTATTGGATTTAGATTAATGGATGTGGATCATAGTGGTTTAGAAATCTATAATAAAATGTTGAAGTTTTAAAGATTATGATTATTGTAAAGTGAAAGTTTAACTAGATAATGCAAGGTAATAGTAAAGTATAGATTTTTTTCAAACTAATTATCCTTTAATAACAATTGAAGTTTTTTCACCAACGTTGGGTCATGTATGATTAATTTAATTGTGAAAAGTGGTATGAAAACAATTAAAAAAAAATATTGATAGAATTAGGGAATCTTTAGCTTGGGTTACTGGTAGTAATAAAAGAAATGCTGAGATTCAAGAAGTTTGTATAAAATCAAATATGTCTCCTAGAACTTTTGCATTAGATATGTCTGTTAGATGGAATGTACTATTTAATGCTTGATTCATGTTTACCTTGCTAATATATTAGTTATTTTGTAGCAAATAATAGAGGTCCTCATTATTTGGTTGAAAATGATTGGAAGATAGCTAAAGTATTTCATTCTTTTCTCAAAGTTTTTATCAATCCACTTTACAACTTTTGGTGTGTATTATCCTAGTTATTGGTATAAATATAATATAAAAATTTCCGAGTTATTTACAAAAAACAGAGACAATGAAATTTTAAATGCACCAATAAAGGCAATGGAAAAAGATTTTTGAAATATTAGAAACCCATTCCTTTTCTTTAGTTGGTGTTATATTTGATCCTAGAATTAAATTAGCACGTTAGAAAATGGTTTTGACAATTTAAGTGAAAATTTACAAACCGAATCATTTGTCAATCAAATAGGAGAGGTAAAAAATAGTCTTTTCGAAGTATATTTCCAATATGAAAACAGGTATGGGAACCCGCAGTCGCAAAGAAGCGAAATATCCAGAGAAGTTGTAGCAGAGAAACAACAATGAGACATTATACTCTTAGAATGCACTGAATAGGCCGAAGAGGACCCAAATCCGAAGCACAGCCGCAACCTCCTCTTCAGAAGCAACCAACAAGAACAACAACAACAACAACTAATATACTGTCCTCCATGGAGGCCAGAGTAATGAACTTCAACAATATTTGGAACCCCCGAAATGTTTTCAACAGGTCACTTTGATATCTTAGAGTATTGGAGAGCCAGAAAATGATTTTTCCGGTATTATCAAGACTTGCCTTGGTGTTTTCGCTATTCGTCTCACCGTCTCATCCGAACAAACATTTAGTGCAAGTGGAAGGATTTTAAATGAAAGGAGGACTAAACTTGCTCCAAAAATGATTGAAGCCTCACAGTCTTCGAGATTGGGAACGATGTGCCATCAAGATCAATATGAGGTTATCGACAATACTTAGTAGAATCGTTTCAATTTTGTATATAGATGAGGGGGAGGGGTTTTTTTTTTTTTTTGGGGGGGTTTTTTTGGGGGGGGGGGGGGGGGGGGGGGGGGGGGGGGGGGGGGGGGGGGGGGGGGGGGTGGGGGGGGGGGGGGGGGGGGGGGGGGGGGGGGGGCAGGGTTACAGATGAGGGAGGTCCTAGTGAACCACCCCCAAATTAGTTGTTTTGTAAAATGTAATTTGTAAATTAATTGTCAATTATTGCACTCTTTTTTCTTTACCAAGTTTTTCTCCCATTGAGTTTTTCTTGGTGAGGTTTTTAACAAGGCAATAATTGTTGTAATTTCTTATTTTATTTTTTTATAAATGAATAATTTTTCTTATATTATAATTTTATTGTATCAAAATTGAATTAATATTTGAAATGTTAACAAACAAAAAAATTGAATTGAATTATTGATATTTGAAAAGTTAATTAAAAACAATTATATTTATAATTATTTATTTGAAAAGTTAAATAAAAACCAAAAAACAAAAAAAAAAGTAAAATCGGGCTAACCCGGTCCAGCCCGCCACCTAACCCGGCGGGTTAGGGCTGGCGGGCCGGGCTGGGCAAGCCATTTTGGAGAAAATGGCGGGCCTAACCCGGCCTGCCTTTGCTGGTGAGCGGGTTAGGCTCGACCCGCCAAACAAAGTAACCTGCCGCGGGACGGGCCGAGCGGATTACTTTTCCACCTTTAGTCAACTCTTATGTCTCTTTCCTGGTAATATTGTAACTTCTCATATTCACAAACCTGGTCGGTGGTAATATTCTATTATATATTTTAAGCATGACTTATTTAATTACCAAATATTTGGATAATGATCTGCCGTACCACTTACATTTATTGCAAATTCTTACTTTCGGCATGTCTATGAGATATGATCGTATTCCATTGAAAATAACTTTCAAAATGTAATAAATATTCATTACATTTAAACTAAAGAGGCATTTTCATATCGAGATTATTGGATTATAGTTTATGTTGTTGTCAAATTTTGCACCAAACACGAGATTATTGTTCCTTTGTAACATATTGCCTTCACATGTCCTTGGAGTTTTAGAAGAATAAATGATTGTTTTCCCTTTTTAGACCGTATCTACTCCTTATTTATCAACTTAACTCACTTTCCTCTCTTCGTAGATTCTTTATTTAATTTAAATTTTGTTTCCTATTTTGGAGTGATATCCATTAGATTGCTTACTTAGTGGGCAAACAAATCAATTTGGAATTTTATTATTTTGGCCCTAGAGAATTACGGATAATACAATTCATATTATTTAATTAATTAAATTGATAGACATACAAATTCTAAATTTTAATAATATCTGATTTCAATAGATTTCATATTTATGCCATTCAATAATTTAATTTTGTTTCTTATATAGTAAAAACACACACAAGAAGCGCATGGAAACGACCTAATCAATGAAACAAATGAATTATAAATGTTGTCATTTGGTGAATTATTATTATTTGATAACTAACGATTAAGAGTTAGGTTGGGATTGTTGCAGCTTTAAATTTAATCAGTTTTTTTTTTTTTTTTTTCTAACTTTGGAAATCA